ATAGAAGTAACTCGGTTTTCATCTCAACATTATTATCTCCAAACCAAACGAACATTGCAAGGATTTGGAATAGCTGACGTAGGAAACCTGCGAGCCTAAATGAAGAACTTATAATTCGTCACTACCACCACCACCACCAAATGTTTCGACCCGCTAGATGTGAATGAGCTACGTGAAGTGTGTTGTTTTGAATGTATGCATTCCATTCCACGGAGATATGAATAACTGACGTACCAAGGGAGGAGACCACACAATGATAGCTGACCATTTTCTTGTATGTTTTTGTTTTTTGTTTTTTACTTTTGTTATCTGGTGTGTAATTAGAATCATGTGTATCTTGAATGATAATATTTTTCCTACTTTAATGTAATGTCAGTATTGGTATATTTTCCCTGCAGTATAACATTTCAGGGGAGATGGGGACCAGCAAACAAAACGACAGAAGACACAAAGTTATTTAATGGATACGGAATTAAAATCTTTAAATTGAGAGCATACTGTTATATGGAATCACAACTATTGCATATATTTTTGCTAATGGATATTGTTTTTCTGAGATATAGAAGGAAAAAGGGTACCTTATGCCTAGTTTACAGGGAACTGGAGTTCTGTTGTGTATAAAAGAATGCGTCTTAATCATGCTCAAATTTTTAAAAGCAATTTTTTTTGTTTTTTGCATAGAGTTTGATTACCAGCTCTTTGAGTAATAAGATATAATTGTTATCAACATATGGCATGTTATGAGCACGGAATTCTGGTAACTGAATCATCTTTAATTCCAATTCAAATACTTTGAAAATTAAAATTAAATCTTTACTAGAGGTTAACAGTAATTATAGAATAGTCCTGGATCATAGGATGGACTGCCTTTCAAAATGGGTGCACGTCCGCACAACCAACGTTAACAGCAATGAATGAATAGATGAAGGAGCAAGAGTACCGTATCATTACTCTTGAGTAGAATAAGCAACCAAATGCTGCATGCAAGATTTCAACTTGGCAGAAGTCTACCAGCTCTGTGCGGGAAGTGCTTAGTTAAGGCCCGAGATGAATGGGAAATGATAAGGATATTAGGAAATTTATATCACATGTGGCAGTTGTGTTTTTTATTTTAAAGCTCTGAATATTGATTGTAGTTGAAGGTATATTGTTCAAAAGAAAGAGAAAAAAGTACTAGGAGAATCCACAAATATTGTCATTGCCTGAAGAAATTTCCCCAATATTTCCTAACTTCCAATTATTATTTTCTTTTGCCAAATGTCTCTTTGTGTTAGTCCAGTGTCCCTTTGTGCTACAGTCTATTGTTATTACCCAGTTTCATTACTATCCTTAGAGTTTGGGAATGTAATCACTGTTCAAAGTCCATTTTCTCATGGAAAAAGGAAAACGTAATTTGTGTACAGCATAATGAAATATGTATATGTAGTTGATGCAAAGAAGTTTTGATAAACATGTTCTCTTAAATAATCACCTCAAATGTTCCTCATTTGTACTGTGAAGTTTTAGGTAGTTGAGGGAAATGCAGTTTCACGGAAACCTGTGTGTAAAGACCACTTGAGGAATACAAGAAAAGCGGTCTTTGTGTACAGGTTCCTGTGATACAGGTCTCGCTTAGAAACTGCTCAAGGGAATAAAAACTGGTCTTTGTAGGCAGGTGAGGTGGTCTTTCTGTACAGTGGTCACTGAAACACGTTTTTGACTGTGATAGATGGATGTCATCGGAAACCATCCTTCTTTTGATTTCTACCAACTCCCTGTTTTTGCCAATAAACAAGTCATATGAGATCATGTGCAATCAGTTTTGTGGACAAATCCTAAAGATACCATTCTGTGTTTTCAAATGGGGCTGAAGTCAAAGTGTGCCAACCACCTAAAAAATTAATTCATGTAAAATTAGAATGTATGAATCCAACCTCAAAAACTTCATCCAGCATTCTATGGGCTAAAGGAGTATGAAGAAAATAAAAAAAACAACATTAAACCAAGCACACGGGACCAAATTCGGACTTGGGTGATATGAGGGTTCTATTTTATATGATCGTGTACTGACAAGAATCACAAGTCGCTTTTATATCAATGGAGAGTTTCTTTAAACTTACAAACTCTCTTTCCAGAAGTAATATTTGAGGCTCTCAATTTTGAATGTAGTATTATGACACAGAACTACTAACATAAAAAACAAAATATATTTTGGGGATGATTGGTACACCTTAATACTTGGTATAACATGCACTGATCTGTGGAAGGCCAACTGTCCACCTGTCAGTTTCGTATACACTACTGTAATTATGTAACAAAATGAGAAATTTATTTCATACAGACAAGCTTTTGTGTTTTCACTTTGTTACCGAATTATGGTGATATGTACAAGTTGAAGAGAATGGCATTTAACCTTAAATGAATCAATGGACTAACTCTATGCTCGTATGCAACGTTTAAACCTGGCCGTGGATTGGTCGTTTTCAAGAATAAAGACCGTGTCAGGTTACAGTGAAATTTATCTATCCTTTTCAATATATTATGTTTTCTTAAAAGCTTGCAAATGTTCATTTCCCACTTTTTCTTCTATTTTTTTACAAAAAATAGGTTAGTTGTTTTTACCAATATATGGATGTCAAGTGGAAAGAGTCATGAAAGATTAATTTGCTGAAGGCGAAATGTGAGAGGAACCTTGCCCAAGCTAGTGGAATATTTTTTACGATAGGTGTTTGTCGTAAATACGACATTATTGATACAAAATGAGAGATGAATCGAAACCTGTGTATGAAAACGGTAATAATAAGTTGAGCTGTTCTGGAGATATTCGAAAGGCATGGAAAATGAGTTTGTTTTTTTCCAGTCAGTTAAGGAGTCCGGGAATGAAAGACCACTTGAATCAGGGAAGAAAAAAAAAATCAGGATATTTCATTGACCTCCCCCCCCCAAAAAAAAAAACAACAACAACAACAAACAAAACAATTTAGTGAGGCTCTTATACTGTGTAAACTACATGTATCTATCTTTACAACAGCAACACAATCATATTCTGCTGTGTCTTGTCTAAATATCGTATCCACTTGGTAAAAATACTTCACAATGGAATTAGGTTGCAGCATTTCATAAATAATGTTTGGTTGGGTACATTCGGAGCCTGATGTTTTTATCAAAGGCTCACTATATTGCTCAATTGGCAGAGTTCGTGATCTGGCACCTTAAAGAGAAGGTTGAGTTCTGGGAAGAGGTGAAAAATGATTTGTGAGCATTACTCATTCTTATTATGCAAGTGTGGAAGAACATCAGTTAAGACATGTTCCCTGAAAAGCATGGCTCTTCAAATGCCTTCATATTCTAAATATGCATGTAACATCGTAAAAATCGGGGGGGGGGGGGGGCCTGCTTTTTACGCCACGTGTCCGTGTAGTCCCATATACCTCTTTCTGTGCAAATGTTTGTAACTTTACCAAGACTTGGCAAAATTTCTTATCATTTTGATGAATCCAGAACCTTGCAATACACACAAATTCTTATATGCTAGATGATCAACCTTTTCTGGTCGGTTCCACACCGTTTCTTTCACAATGCAATCGCATGACCAGAACTCAACTTCATCTTTAACTGATATGTAAACTACTCAATTTGCTAACCACCATCTCCAAATTCATCCATTGCTTATGGGAAAGATAACTCCTGCTTTAAGCTTACAAGAATGATAAAATTCAGTCGTCGATGGGTTAAGAGGCATTCTAGAATTTCAGACCAAGGATTTTTTTCTTTTTTTTAGGGGCTGATGGTAATACAACGTGTTTCAGTACTTTCTTTTAATTATTTTCAGGGCAAAGTTAATCCTTCAGATAAATACATCCCCTTCATATAGTCCATCAAGAATAAAAAGAAATAGGAGAAAAGCGACGGCATGCAATAATATTACATGCAACCGTGTAGTGAATATGTATCAACAGAATTGTATAAATTTGTCGTTTTTTTTTAAATCTAGAAACCATAATCCAATGTATATGTTAATGATTAGCCTCGTGTATTCCACTCGTGTAATCGTTTTTTGGTGGAATGTAGCTTTGTTTTCTGAAAATGAAGCAATGTAACTGTAAAACTTTCCAAACAGACAGTGTGGCTTGAGTGATTTGTACTTGTTTGGCTCAGTGTTGTGTAGTGATCGGGAGTGATCGCCAAGTTGCCTACTTCATGAACGACTATATACCCACGTATGAACATCTTTAAATGGCAATCCAATCTTTGTAATAACTTCATTTGTGTGAATGCAGAAAAATAAGAGAAACAGAATGGCGAAAGTTTGAAATAAATCGGACCAAAAATAATTATAGTTATGAATGTTTGAAATATGAGATCCCTAAATGTATGTGAATCTGACGCGGGTGTTGTTTTTTCTTTGTAGAGGACCTTAAAATGCTATCCATAATATATTTCCTCCAAGGGAAAATGCACTTATAGGAGAAAAAAGGAAATTGATGAAACGGGAGAGTTATCCGCGACTACTTCACAATCGACTTACCGAACTGCCAATTTGTGATTCGCGTAGATTTAGTGATCTCATGTGCAAAAACGTTCTTATTATAGGTCAAATTTATTTCACACTTTCGCACTTCCGTTTATCTTACTTTTCTGCCGTCATATACACGAACTCATTACAGCTAGAGGTTGGGTTGCCCTTTGATAATATAGACCACACAATGTTTCTTTGTTTTGCACATTGATTTCTATACTAATTGGCTACGAGCAAAGTCCTTGTACAAAGGCAATGGACACAGGCGATATTCATCGGAAACACTGTTTGATCTCCGAGAAATTAATCAAGTATCGCCCCAAGACGATGTTGGTAGCAGCCTTCTATTAACCCCTAACCTTGCGTGATTATCACCTATCATGTTATTCGAGCTGCATGAATTTATTTTAAAAAAAGCTTCTCTGGCTTCCCTAAATAAACAAACTACTCAATTATCCTTCACTATCACAGCACCCCACTCTATCAAGGGGGAAAAACACACAAAACCAATCTAATATATTATATAGAGCTAAAATTATGAGCAAGAAAAAGATAGAAAGCAAAGCAAAGCGGAGTATTTTGAGCTCTAGCATTTGTTTGGTGCAAGTCATTTTTAAAGATCTACCAAGTTTTCTCGCTAGCGACTAATCTCAGTCACTTCGACCTCGGACCTACGATAGGCCCATGCTTCAACCAAGTTGGCCTAGCTTAAACCATATACTCCATGCGTAAACGGGACACTAGACAGACAAATCACGAGACATACAGCCAACGTGACCAACTATCGGGCCAACTACACTGTTGGTCATACAAGAGGAATAACACCCCAGTTTATGCAATGATTTTGACAAAGATTTATTCTTAATAGATCTAGATAATAGTATAAATTCTCATATTTTAGTGAATAATAGTTTGCAAGTGTTTGTTTTACGTGACTGCTAAAGCATGTGTGTGCTACTATGCTTATCAACTAGGGGACCTACGGCCTTAAGTCATAACTGAAAGTAACGAGGATTAATGCCTCACAAAAGGGCACCTGCACGGTTTGAGGTTTACTCTTCCATGGGGAATTAAGCATCTATTATCCCCGAGCAAATGAAAGTCAGACATACCACCCAACGCCCATACTTATGTCGGCCCCTCCCATCATCTAAAAAAATTAAAGTGATAATGATTATAGGTCACTTTATACAGCACAGCCACTCTATGAATATACTCTACTGCTCTTAATACATATATTACAAAGTATCATATTATTACCCCGGATGTCGCTGCATGAGCTGCAATAAGGCGCTAAAGCATTCAAGGAATTTCTTCCTACCGAGTACCTATTTATTTCACCTGGGTGAAGAGTGGCAAATGCAGTCTTTCCAAACGACATTCGTGCAGCGGTGGGATTCGAACCGCGAGCCCTGTGATCCCAAGTCTGGTGACATATCCGCTAGACAACGACACCTTTAAAAAAACGATAGCGATATAACGACCCTCAAAATAGTTAGAAAACAATAACAAGTAATACGTACGCCTAAACCGTATCGCATGGGTTCTCAAACTTTTTCTTTGACGGTCCAGAAGTGATTTCTAAAAAAAGATGTAAGGTCCGAAAGGACACTTGTAAACTGAAGACAATTAATGAGGATTGTTTTTTGTCTATATATATATATATATATATATATATATATAATATATATATATAGTACTACGTATGTATATATATATAATATATATATATATATATATTAATTAGCTTGAGGGGCCAGACAGAGCCCATTGCCGGGGGTTGAGGGGCGGAGCCCCAGGATGCTCTCTAGTTTATTTGACTTTCAATCAAGAGAGAAATTGTCTTTGAAGGACGGGTGACATTCAAATATAAGTTGATTTGTAGGGCAGCATACAGCTCAAATTTTGTTATTCCAACATCTAAATAAACATCAAAATTTAAAAGATTTTTAAATATTACCTCCCCCCCCCCTCAAGTGAGCTAACAGGAGACAATTGTATGTAACTTTCCCCAGCTCGGCACATGCTCATAATACATCCACATTACCTATCTTTTCCTGTTGATGCTACAGTACGTTTCACATAGCAACTCCTATGTAATCAGGGATGGATTAGAGAGTGTGCATCGCTCTTGAAAGTTAAATAGCCCTTTTAGGAAAAATGAGAAGAGAAGGAGAGGATAATGTAAAACAGAAGAAGATAGAAGGAGGAGGAAAAGGAGAGAGACGGAAAGAAAGAAAAGGGAAGAACATGAATCTTAAATTTACACTTGATTACATTTCCGATAAGCTGTCTCGAAATTTGCTAAACTGTCTTCCGACGAAAGTACAACAATACGAAAACAACATTTCTATAAGTTTGTCTTCAAGAAAGAAAGAGAGGTTAGTTCTAAAATGAAAAAAAGGGGCTTTGTGACTTTCAAGGAGGAAATAACAATTTCTATCGTTCGTGACGAATATTTTCACAATTTCCTAATTTGTTTAAGATTCCAGAACTACCTGGACCGGGCTCCGCCCCAACGACTCCCGGCAAAGGTTCTCGACCCCAATCCGTGAAGATAGAAGTGGGTCCCAAGACAACATTTTGTTGTATAAAGTTGGAGAGAGTGTGAGTTTTACGTTGTTAAAGAATTTAACAACCATGCACTCCTTTGGACATTTTATTATTTACACAATTTGTTGCTCTCTGCTGCCTTGAGATCGAAATCTGAAAAAAGGGAACCCCGGCTGATTCGGACCTCACCTGTAACCGGCATTGTTCCTATAGAGCTAAAAAAAAAAAAAAAAAAGAAGATAAAATAGTGAAAATAGTGAAAATGTTTTTCAGGATTTTCTTACATCCATTTTGATTTTTGAAATTTTCTTTATTGACCGATTAATCTCGCGGGATTACGAAGTATTTTCCCACACATTTCAATAGCAGATATCTTGTGATATATAATTGCTTTCAGGCTGACTTATAAAAATAATTTTCGATTGCGTCAAATTTTGGAATTTACCACA